TGAAAAGGGGGAATTATAAAATATATTATATTTTTAATATATAATTTACCTTATAAGAAAATTTTTTTTTTTGTATTATTATTGTATCTTCTTCTATTTAGAATTTTCAATGGAAAACTAAAAATTTTAGATTGTGCCATTGAAAAGGGGGAAAAAAAGGCTATAATATAATTCCAAATTGTAATGGTGGTTAGTTTTCATATGAACCAAAAATGTGAAGATCTTCCTAACTTTAATTTCATATTTAGGGCTGTACGGTTGGGGAGGAAATTGTTCCCAAATCCACATTAATATTACAATTAAAAAAAAAGTAAAAGTGATATTTTTAATTTTTATTTTTGTAATACAATTTTTAATTATAAGCTTTTTTTTCTCACACTTTTCTCAATAAATTGAAGGATAAAAGTTCATACATTATTAGCAGAGAGAGATAAAAAGGACAAAATATGAGTTTTTATTTGCTAAACTAGCAATGCTAAAGTGTAAAATGAATGCGTATGTGTCACTGATGCGGGGCCCAGGTGGTGTTGAGGTTGCAATGCTAAAGTGTAAAATGGATGCGTATGTGTCACGGGTGCAGCGCCCATGTGGCGTTGAGGTGGCATGAGTTACGAAGGACTAAAAGTATGAGTTTCTGTCGAAGGGTGAAAGTAAAGTTAAAGGACTAAAACAATAATTTTAGAAAAGTCAAAGAGTTAGGTATAATCGAGGACAAAGAAAATAAAAATAAATAAATAAATAAATAAAAGAAAAAAAATTAATAACAAAAATTAGAAAACAAAAGGAATAAACCACCATTTACCAAAAAAAAAAAAAAGCAAATCACGACCATTAAATTAAAACCAATATTAAAATCTGAAGGGTCACGAACCCTAGGCGGAAAGGATCCACGTAGCGTTAGATTCTTTCCGAGTGACGGTGCACTCGGTAGGCGGAGAGTAAAGAAATAATCTGGAAATTACTCGGTACTCCGCACCTACACATTCGTTTGGTAGCAGGGCAAAGAGAGCGCAGTATTTGTTCGAGACGCATTGGCGGAGACTGCGAAACCAGGAACCATCATTTTTGGCTCTTCGCTAATCTTTTATAAAGTCATTCATCTCCAATCTCCGATTCGAGATCTCAAGGTTGGTTTCCTTCTCCTCTTTGCTCTTTACTGCGCAAATCTTGTCCTCGTCTGTTGAATTCGGTTTCTCCGCTCGCTTTTCGTAGTCGTTTTCTTCCTCGAGGTGCCATTTGCATTAGATCTGTTATTCTTTTTTTCGTTTCTGTTGATTTTCTTGTATCTTCAGTTGAGAATTTGGTGTTTTTGGTTCGTGTTTAGGTTCTGTGGATTTTATCTTATTTTATTTTTTGTTTTGGTTTTGATAGAAATGCAAAGATGAGCTCTTCTCTCTGTGACGAATTTTCCTGAGATAATGTGATATGTTGTAGAATCTGGAGACTGGTTCAATGCTTCGAATACTCTCTAATATTTATTTTTATGATAGTAATATAGAATTGAGATGGTTTATTGGTAAATGATATTTTTGAATATTGGAATTCCTGGATTTAGAAATGGATTTTGATGTTTATATTTACCAAACCTATTAGCAGATGTTCTTAATTTGAAGAAAAAAGAAAAAAAGAAAAGAAAAGAAAAGAAAAAGAAATAGAAGATATGCTATCAGGCGGATAGTTTCATTATGTTCTGGTGTTTGCTAGAAAATAACATGTTGGAGTTTTCCTTTATGGTCATTCTGGAACTGGTGTTTCTATCAAATTCGTAAGGAGTAATGATTATTACGCATGAATGGACAGTGATTGCCAATTTTGTCTTGAATGAACAAAAGGATGACACAGTTAGATGGAAGGACATTACTGAAGCTGTTATCAACGTTTAATTTATTGATATGGTAGATGTTATTAGTTATTTCCTTGTTTTTGGTTCTCTAGGAAGTAGGAACACTCATTCTTAATAATCGAAGTGCAAGTGAATGCTTACCCTACGAATAATATTTTAGGATGAAAACAGTAACCGTTTCTTGAATACATAGTTCATATTTAGTCCTTCTCCATCTAAATAGTTATAACCAAATTCCGCTTTGTACTTTTGTTGATGGAATTATTGTCTGTAATCCTTGACATCTGTGGAATTTTCTTGTAATGTTTATGCAACTTCTAAATTTTAGGTCAGAATTTGCAGTGTTGATGGAGTTCCTTCTTTGAAAATGGTTTTTACTTTTTGTGGGACCCTATCAAATATAAATTCCTGGTCATTAGAATTCCTCCTATCAGAAGTCAAGTTTTTATTAATATATGATGTTAATTTTCCGAAGGAAGATGGTAAATACTTGTCTATGCTTCACTATAAAATTAACTTGAAATAGAAACACTCATCTTAAAGTCCTAGATTCTAAATTCTCTTCACTCACTCATTTTAAGAGATGGTTTAGTCCTTGTGATGTTGAGACTATTAAAACATGTGGCCTTTCAGTAATTTCTTTTCACAAAGTCTATACTAGCATAAACTGAAACTGTATATTTATATCTGTTTTGGAGATTACCTTAAGAGGTCATACAACCTGTGGATCATCTTGTTTGGAGTTTGTTTTTTTATGTGTAATTGTCAATGTACAAGTTGCTGACACTTTCTGGTTTTATAGAGTGCAAGATGGCAGCTACATCAGCGTCTACCTTCTCAATTGGGTCCAGTGTCTCCTTGGGCACCAGAGGAAGCTCACTTGCACAACCAAAACCCTTTGGTGTGAGGTTCAACTCCCAGAGTTCACTTGCAAGTTTCCCCAGTCTCAAGGCAGCAACCTCTCTGAACTTTAAACTGGAAACCTCCTTCTTAGGCAAGGAACGTGCTGCAGCTCTTCGAGGCTCTTTCATACGAAAAGCCCAGCTATCAAACAAGAGCTCTCATTGCCTTCAGGTGCAAGCATCTTACAAAGTAGCAGTTCTTGGAGCTGCTGGAGGGATAGGTCAGCCACTGGCACTTTTAGTTAAGATGTCCCCGTTGGTTTCAGCCCTACACCTCTATGATATAGCAAATGTCAAGGGAGTTGCTGCTGATCTAAGCCACTGCAACACTCCATCTCAAGTTCTGGATTTCACTGGAGCTTCTGAATTAGCAAATTGTTTGAACGGTGTGAATGTTGTTGTGATTCCTGCTGGAGTTCCAAGGAAGCCTGGTATGACCCGTGATGACCTCTTCAACATCAATGCCAACATTGTCAAGACTTTGGTAGGGGCTGTTGCTGATAACTGTCCCGATGCCTTCATCCATATTATCAGTAATCCAGTTAACTCTACAGTGCCAATTGCTGCAGAAGTTCTGAAACAGAAGGGTGTTTATGATCCAAAGAAACTCTTTGGTGTTACCACACTAGATGTTGTGAGAGCTAACACATTTGTTGCTCAGGAGAAAAACCTCAAACTCATTGATGTTGATGTTCCAGTTGTTGGGGGACATGCTGGTGTCACCATTTTGCCTCTGCTGTCAAAGACGAAACCCTCTGTTAGTTTTACTGATGAAGAGGTAAAAAATCTAACTGTCAGGATCCAAAGTGCAGGGACAGAGGTTGTGGAGGCAAAGGCAGGTGCAGGGTCTGCTACCCTTTCCATGGCCTATGCAGCGGCAAGATTTGTAGAGTCATCTCTTCGTGCTTTGGATGGAGATGATGACGTCTACGAGTGCTCATATGTGCAGTCAGATCTGACTGACCTTCCATTCTTTGCATCCAGAGTTAAGCTTGGAAGGAAAGGGATTGAAACTCTGATTCCATCTGACCTCCAAGGGTTGACTGAATATGAACAGAAAGCTCTAGAAGCCCTCAAGCCAGAACTGAAGGCCAGCATTGAGAAGGGAATTAACTTTGTTCAAAAGCAATCGGTTACTGCTTAGTTATCAAGTTTTCGCGGCTCTTACCTAGTTTAAGAACATTCGTAAGAGAGATGATCAAGTTTGGTTGTTTTTGCTGGGGGCTTAGTCCCTGCTTCAATAATTTCAGTTTTATAGGATGGAAGGTTTTTTATTTCTTCCCGAACAGATAAATCACAAAGTAATTTAAATGGTACTTCAGTGTTGTAGGCCCCCAGAATTTGATGGTTTTATTATATTGGAATTTTGGAATAATGGTAGCTGGTGCATTGCGTTTCCTTTGATTTTGCAACAAATGAATGCCCATAGCCAGAATTTGGTGGTTTCATGCTAATTTGTTTCTTGCAGTGGTGGTATCTTTGACAGTATCGCCACTGGCCAACCAACAGAAGAAATTATGATAGTCGCCAGCTTCCATTTCCTCCGAAATTGTGATAGCTGCCAGCTTCTGTCTCCATCACCTTTGATATTGCAACAAAATGAATGCATCATAGCTTGAGAACACTAAATTTTTTTTTTTAAAAAAAGGACTAAGAGAGCAATTTTTGTAGGATTTTTGTTGCTCAAGGGTTTTTAGATTCAAGTCAATATTTATGTAAATAAATTGAGATCAAATGAAAGAAAAGAGCATGTTTGAGGTTATATGTTTTAGACCGTTAATAATGAGAATTAATTTATATTGTTTAAAAATTTTCAAAATTTATTTACTTAATTTTCAATTATGGAGCTCACGTATTAATGTGAATTAAGGAAAGGGCCTTAGCCAATAAGTTACCTGTCGTCAAAAGGTGGGAGGTGTAATATACATTACAATTAAAATCTAAACATGTATTATAGTTTGAAAAAACCAATTGTAGCTCAGATGGTAGAGCACTCGCATTAGCATGCGAGAGGTACGGGGATCGATATCCTGCATCTCCACCTTTCTTCAAAAATAAAAAATTAAAATTTATTCACGTGTTATTTATTTGGATACAAAACAAATAAGGGGGAGGGAGGGGAAGAATCTTCCTTCCAGGAGAGCGGAGGGTTTCTCTTAAAACAAACCTTTATTATGACCTTGTAATAGCTCCTTTGTTATAGGTAGGGATGATAATTTCCTCCATGACCCGTGGAATTTATAGGAAATTCTCGTCATGGGGATGAAAATTCTAAGAATATTTTTCCCCATAGGACGGGGATGGAGGCATTTTTTCTCTCATGAAATTTCGTGGGGAAATTCCTCTATCTCGTGGAGAACCGTAAGGATTCATATAAAATAAAAAAAATATAAATTTATTTATATATATTTTTGTAAATATATTAACAATTAATTTTTATTTACCCAACTTAATTAGCTAACCCAATACCAATACAATCTAAATTTTACAACTCATTCTTTTTTCAGTTTCCCAAACCCAATTGTCAAGTCCAGCCTATTCTTTTTGTCAATCTAGTCTTCCTAAACTTAATTGCTCAACCAAATTTGCATTGATAACCCTAGAAGGACTATCCAAAGATCTCAATTTTAGATTTGCGATTCCTCCTATCCAGTTTCCTCTACGACTCTGCGCTGTAACTCTATTTCTACTCCTCAATCCTCATCTGCGATTCCCTTCAAGCTATCATTGTCACTACCCATTAAGCAACCACTACAATGCTGATCTTCTCCCATCTCTCACTCACACTCAAACTTGATAACTCTTCTTCAATCTCTCAACCAGCCATCGGTAACTCATCTCTTTTATGCCCTTTTTCTTAATGAACTTATTGCTGGACATG